TTTAAAGTGGGGTTTCACCATGATGGCCAGGCTGGTATTGAACTCCTGACCTCAGGTGATCCACCCACCTCAGCCTCCCAAAGTGCTAGGATTACAGGTGTGAGCCACAGTGCCCGGCCCATAGCCATATATTCTTAAGGTATATTGGTTGAAATGTTGGTCCTTCATAATCCAATTATCTTTAAAGTTAAGAAGCTGATTGTGTGACATGGAAACGCTATCAAAAAGAAGGGAAACAATTCCTTTTCTTACAGACTCCTCCCCTTACCTTGGAAGATGAAGAATCACACTCCTGACATATCCATCCATAGCCTGTTTGTTTAGGGGACTTTTTCAAAGGAGGATCCAAACAGCCAAAATGGTAGCAGAGTCTGCATTCATCACACCTGTAGGGTAAACAGATTTATAGGTAGGTGTATCTAAATAACATATAAACCATCTACTTCAAAGACAAAAAGACAAACTATTGTATATTTCAACTTCGACATTGTTAATTTTATCCTTGGCTCACAAGATCATCAAATTAATGATTACGATAAAGGCAAACTAAACCTGAAATAAATGTTTTAGCAAAAACAAAATACAAAAACAATAAAATCAACAAATGAAACAAATATTTAGAGCACTTTGACAGTAGAACTATTAAGAGCATATTAATGAATGTATATTATCATATGTATTCAAAACAACTGCAACAATTTCAATTGTGAACTTAAAGAATTAATCATTTGCCCATTAAATAGTTTTAAAATATTTAATAAGATACACATGTAATTCAAGGAAATGAATCCAGTAATATACATTTTGATTATTTAAAAAATTGTAATACTCAGAAATTCTACTAGGCTACACTAGGTTGCAATCAATGCTATGCAATTTGCACCTGATTTTTCTCTTTTTCCCAGTTAAAGTAGATTGTAAATGAATTTTCTAACATTTACAGCATGCTAACAAAATCTATAGCAAATAAAAATAACCTTTACATGTTAAATCACAGAACATTTAAATATACAAAGAGGTAAGAAACTACCCCAATAATTTAGTTTTACTCTCTCAAATTTACCTGTCACTTTCTTCAGACCATTTGGTTTTACAAAGTACTTCCTAGTAAATGTAAAAACTTAATAAATGTTTTGATGGTATATTTGTCACCTATGATGTACAAAATCTAAGAAAACTACCATACCTATTCTTCGTTTCAGACAATCTCATCCTGCTGACAATGAAGAAAAATCTGTATTATTTCAGTGCTTTGTAAAAAGAATTTTGCATCAGTTGGAATAACAAGACCAAAATTTAACAACAAATAACAAAAAGTATACACCTTATAAAAGGGATTGCATTCCTCATTTCACACTACTTTTTTAAAAAAATTAAACAATAACACTTTCTCAACCAATCTGTCAGATTTTCTTTATTAATCTTTCACCAATTTAAAACTTCAAATGTCAAGAAATCTACGATTAAGAAACCAAGCAGAAAAATTTATAGAACATGTATTACTCAAATAAAGTTGAAAATTACTATTCAATAACCTTTTAGGAAAAAAGAGGCAGAAGCTCTTCTTACATAAACAACACACAATGAGAAACAATTAACTTAGAGAAACCGTCATAATACAAGGGAATGTAAATCTACATTTTTTAGTAGAAATTCATATGATGCTACAAAAATTCAGTCTCCCAAAAACTCCTTTTGGGACTGAGAGTTTCAGAAAAGTTAAGCAACTTAGCTATGTTATTCAGGTATAAAGAAGTTTAAAATGCAATTGAATGTCCTAAGTTTATGTATTTCTTCCTCTACAACTTTCTCCTTATGAATAAAATAAGCTTAAGTACTTTTCCAAAAACTTCTTAGACTCAAGACTTTAAAAAATGCTTACTATGACAGTTCTAGCTACAGGAACAGATAAAGTCAAATAGTACCAACAGTACTTTACTTACTATGACCTTAACACATAACTAAAAATATATTTAAAAGCAATTTAAATGTTCAAATATCTGTTGTTCTGGCATTAAGTAAGAATAACAAGTAATATAAGCTAACTTCAAATGTGACATCAACGGACTAACTGGCAAGCCCACATAATTTTATGCTCTTTTTTTCTCAATACAATATATTTACCTTTCATTAGCCAAAATTTCAATTAAACATATGGATATAGAAATCTTCAAAGTATTCCTGAGTTCATGAGAAGATTGAGACTTGTAAATAACTGAAAGTGTACTCCTTCATACATAAAAACCTGTGTTTTAATCATATTTGATAAGAAGTTTAAAACTAATCACATTGCTTATTTAAACAAACAAACATATTTAATATAATTTATATTTGTCACCTCAGGTCATCAGTAAGAATAACATATGCTGCTACACGTCTAACAGTATGTCAGCCTTTCGTCCTTGGTATGTAGACCAGTAGTCTGCTGATCTATTTAAATTCTTGTATTCAATTTTCATAGATTTTCAGGGTCTTCAATTGCTTGAAAACTATCAGCCACTGCTTCCTGATATTGTTAGTGTGTTTGGTTAAGCATAAATTCCCCAAAAACAGTCTGTTATGGATTCAGAAATCAGAATACTAAAGCTTATTGAGGCTATGTAAATGGACAGTAGACATACATGAAAATGAGAATTTCTACTAATAGGCTCAATTTTGTTTGTTAACTATAGTCTTTTTTCCTTAACTTTAGGTTTTTGGGTAGTATGCCATATAGTTCAGATTGCTAATAATCAAAGTTCTTGATGAAGTATTAACATCTTCCTAGTTCATATCAATTTACTACCTAATTACTGCATATTTTCTTTATAACTGTGTCATAATAATTTTCAAATTATGATTTCTAGTGTATAACTTGAGGCAAGTATGATGAACATGAATTATAATTCATTATTTATCACCTTAATGTACATAAATAATTCTTGTTTCTATAGCTATGAAAGTCCAGCTGATAAACTAAGAACAAGTTTGCTGCACTGATACAGTTCCAATCTGTTGCTGATTTCAACTACTTGTAAAATCAAATTATCTTTCAGCTCAAGAACTAGTGAAAAGAGTAACAGAAAGTTATCAGAAGACAGTAACAAATATATGCTATTTAGAAATGACCTAATCCTTGCTGTCTGGGTCCTTCATTAGTGATACCATTCAGAATTACTTAGTCGACATGTGCAACTCTCATGTATTTGTGATGCATTCCAAAGGAAAAAGGATTTGCTTGTCAGAATTAGGGATAATAGGGAAGTTCTCTGAACTTCTAGCTCACTCAACAGTAAATAAAAGCTGCAGCTTCAAGACTAAGTAGCAAAAAGAAGTAGTTAGTATGCTTAGGAACTGCCAAAATCCAAAAAAGAGGGAAAAAAAGAGCCAATCTTGAAGTCAATAGTTTTGTTGATAAATAAATATACAAATACAAGTTCTTTGTAAAGAGGTCTCAAATTATTTCAATGTGAAAAAATCTGGCTGCTTCTACGTTAGAATATTGAATTGAAACAATCTATAGCTTTATGTGCTAAGCACAGAAACATCCTGATAAACACAAGTGAACTCTAGCAGAACTTGAGAGAATTAATAAACTACAGACAAATGTAAGAGATACTATTAAGAACCCAAGAAATCAAAGAACAATGTGGATGGCCAAAATAGCAGCTTATTAATTTTATGCACACATAACACTTTGTAATCTTTATCAAATTCTGTCACCCAACAAACTCTGGCTATGTTGCAAATTTAGACGATTTAAAAAACTCAAAAACCAAAAACTCATAAGCATCTATAAGCTGCAATGGAGTTAAAGTAGTTATTGACCAATTTTATTTAAGGTTTCTACCTTTATTTCTTACACAAACTTGGAAAGACATGCAGCACATAATATAGGACATAGTCAACTTATCAAAATAAACAGTGAATAAAATGTTTTTAAAAAACATTTGCAAAAGCAATCACTGACCCACAAAAGTATAGTGATATAAGACAATATACTTTATTAAATAACACAAACGTCTATGTCATAAAAACAGACTATTATGCCAATAGCACATTATTAAATAGGAAAGCAATGTCTTAAAATATTAAAAGAGAATATAAAACTAACCTGTAAACAAACACTAAGATTTTTTAATAAAATGAAAACTGGATGCTTAAAGAAGTATCATTTAAGCCTCTAGTAAACACTGTACACAATTACACTACAGAGCATAAAGTAATCCCAATTATAAGATAAAGGCAAACCTGATTAATTAGATTCTTACTAAATGCAACTTCCTAGGCATCAGATTAATAACGAATATAGATGTAAATAACAAGTAGCTATATATATGGTCTTTTACACATTAATTAAAATACAGTGACCAAATAAACATAGTCTATATGTATGTAAATACTTACTTAGTACATGATTAAGAATAGCACCCTAAACAAAGAAGAGGGAAAAGCGATTTATCTTTATATGTGCTATGATCCATATAACAAGCAATTAAGTCAGGTGTTTACCTGACTACTGAGAATATGCAAACAAGTAAAAAGCAGCAGCTGATTTATTTCTTCTTATGCCTAAGAGACAGGCCTAAAGTCAGCGTTCCAAAGGGTTTCTTTAACATCTCTAATTTCTAATGGATAATTGCATTAAAGGAGTCAACTAAAACTACTTTTTAAAACCTAACTGAAAAAATTAAGTGCACCTCCTATGCAAATAATTTATAGTCACTTATAAGCTAAACTTGAGTAAGAAGCAAAATTCATAACATAGGCTTGAACAAGAGAATACACTTTTGTGATCAAGTTGATTGTGATAATCACACTATTTTTCATGCCAATGGAACATTTTACTTATAACGCCTTAAGCTTACATAAAGCAAAACAATAAATGGACTCTGAAAATACAGACTATGATGTCTGTCCCCTTAAAAAAAATTATTCAGATAATTAGTGTTTTGAATTTTCCAACTTTTTCACTTCTGTGTAAAAATTCCACACAAGAACATTCAAGAATATTAGTCTTGAATATTATCATTACTTAAATAAAAATCTCACTAACATCTCAAACATCTATGCAAATCTATTAACAGGTAGTGATTATTTCATTGAATAGTGGCCAATTATTTCAATTAAACATCTTAATAGATGGAGAAAATACAAATTGTGTTCAGTGAGTTAAATCACTTTACAAATAATACAAGCTTGCACAAAATTCTGCATTCTACCGATATTGAATAACATTTAGTATCAATAAGTACAATATATTATTCCTTGTAATTTACAACAATTTTAGGGCAAATTACCTACATGAGCAGTTTCTATACAAAATAATTAGAAAATGTCTTTTGTTTCACAAATAGACTAATGTGCAGGAATTGAACCTATTTCATTAACACCACTATAGATTTCTCTATCAGCCAATAATAAATGAATGAGTAGTAAGATAGACAAAAATATTATTTACACATAAAAGTACACATAAAAATTAATTTTAAAAAATTGGAAACGTATTGGAATCCAAATCTATATTTAATAGTCACTTCAAGAGTGGGATCAGTTCAGTTAGTTATGTCTGCAGCAGCCAGATTACAAGATTAAATGGGAAACAAAAAAATGAAAGATGAGGCAAAACAATTCATATAAAAATATCCAATAAGGTCAAGTGCCTCTCCACAGCATGAGAGAAGGATTAGACATTTCCATACCTGAAACACATCTGCTTTGTTCTTTAATAAACTGATCTCCATCTGCTCATGCCCTTGGAAATTTTTCAGCAGTACAACCTGCTGTGCTCAAGCTCCAAGTAACTTTGTATTTCCTTGTTCATAATTAACTAATTATGTTCTAATCAATAGCGTAGATCCTGATTTTACAATGTAAATCAGATAAATGAGATAATTGCTGGGGGTCAATCTCATTTTATTTACAAAGCCCAGCATGTGCCTCCAATTTCATTACATCTTATGTACCTGAACAGCAGTGAATCTTATCAGCAGGCCTACAGAAAGCCTTACAGTGAGCACTATGAGAAAGAGGCTTCCATTTTTATAGAGAAACATTTGCAAAGTATACCTATCTTAGAAATCATAATCCTTAATTTTATGTAAACTTACAAAGTGCTCATTCAGACAGGTAGAAAAATGATTCTGCCTTCATATGTCATGAAGTTCCAAGTTGAGTCTCTCAAACAAGTTTCAATTGCCATGTTAAAATGTAAAAAAAAAATAATAATGTAAATATTCTGCTCTGCAGGAGAGTCCTTTTGAATTCCTTGAATAGATTTTAGTGAAATATTCATAAAATATTCTCATATTGAGAATCAAGTAAAATAGTGGTAAGTTGTTTAAAAACAGTGGTTTTCATTAAGTAATAGGATGTGAATACAGGGAAATAGGATAGAGTGTAAATATTTTTATTATTTATTGGTCAGCAGTCTATTTTTAACATCATAAATATAAAATCGGATGAACACTCAAGCAACAATGAATGACAATGATCTGTAAAAAATGCATAAATATAATTTCTAAACTTCAGATAAAGGCTAAGTTTTGTTTTCATGTTCAAACATAATCTTAATTTCAAGTCTTTATAACAAAAGGATTAGTGAATTGTGAACACAGGCTATGTTTATTGATTTCTTTCTGTATCTAAAATACTGTTGTTTTCATAGTCAGTGTAAAACAAACATTTATTTAAATTTGTAAAATAAAAAAAATGCACATGTTGAAGATGGAATTACCAATTTCTAGAATAAATTAGAGGAATCTAGAGGAAATCTAAGGGCCCTTTTAGGGAGATTTAAAAAGCACATTCCTTTGTCAATCAATGTTGAGCACAACACAATGATTTAAAAAAAAAAATACTACCTAAAAATGGTTCTTAATGTGGTGTTCCACGCCAGCAGCATCACCATCACCTGGGAATTTGCTAGAACTGCAAATTTTCTACTAAATCAGAAACTCAGGGAGAATGAGGAGGGAATAATGTGGGTGGAGGGAGGATGAGGAGAGGACAGGGTAGTCTCCTGTGTTTTAACAAATTTTCCTGTGATTCTGATGCACAAAGTTTGAGAACCACTACTTACTATTGTCATTCTTCTTGTATTTCAGAGACATTCATTTCCTTCCTGGTATGTTAATGTTTCTTCCTTTCCCTACTGTGTGATAAACAACCATCATTTACTGATGTGTCTTTTTCTCTTATGTTCGACTATGAAATATGAATCACTTAGTACATATTTTCTTAAGCACATATCAATTTTCTCCTTATAGCAGTTGGACCAATTATGGACAGGGAATAATTTTATACTGTGGCTATGAGCACATTTAAGAGATTATTAGGAGAAAGCACTCTATTCTAGTTACTTCAAAAGTTCTCTTATTTCAACTTACTTTTTGCAGGGTCTGTATCTTATGAATTTTGCAATTTTTATGTAAAACATGTGACAAAGATTCTTAAGACTAGCACTAGCACTAGCATCAAACGAGGAGTAACATATCCACCACCACCAAAAACACAAGATGGAGAATAATACAGTATTCTAATTAGAATCAAAGTGAAAAGGATTTTGATTAACAGTGATACCAAAACAAGGCCTAACAATTTCTCAAAAAACCTAAAATAAAGCAACTGCTAGTAATTTCTCACTAAATATTTAAAAAGGGCCATGGTCTAATATATTAGTATATTTCACTTAGAAAATGGCAATCTGTTGTTTCGCTTAAAATCAGCCAGAGTCCAGCAAAAGTAATAATTACCAACATTTCCTCCAGCTTATATAGTGATAACTAGTCCCATCTTATTCTTTAAAAAAAAAAGGCTACTAGTTTTGCTAAAGAGTATGAATATTTCTCCCCCAATGTTAGGAGATCCTTCAGTAAGTTAATAATCTGTTTATATGTAATTACATACACATTTTATTTTTATCAAACATTTCATCCAATCATAGGGTTCCTCACTGTAACTAGAGATTACTGGATTACAGCTGCTTTACAATTACAATTGCTTTTGATAATTAACATCACCTACTCTATTCCTAAAGTTTAAACTATTTTCCACTGTCACTGTACCCAAAAATATGTCCAAAACCACATTTATTAATCAGAAAATTCCAAATTACATGTTGACAATTTACATGTATATGTGCATTTCAATTTCAGCAAAGAGTCTCTAAGTCAGTTCAAGATTGAGTGATGAAATATTCAACATATTTCTGCCGTTGACTTAAAATTGGATCATTAAAGCTTGAAGATCAAATTTAATTCAGTATACCTCTGGAAAGATACTGATGTTGATGAAGATCTTTCTTTCGGCTGGTGGGTTGTATAGTCAATAATCTTTGTATCTCCCTCCTTATTTCCTAAGTTCATATTTAAGGTTGAGAAAAATAAAATTATACTGAACACAGAAAGTTTATATTAAAACAATAAGGACTGAATATATTTGGGGATTACTAGAAAATATCTAGAGATCAATACAGATGTATTTTTATTCATGAGCTTAAACTCTGAAATTGTAAAAATTTCATGCTAATATTATTAATGATTTCACACTAGGACTAATAAGTCAAAAATAGAATGTCATATGTTTCACAAGTCTTTCACTTTTGCTGAATACTATAAATAGAAATAACGTCCAATATAAGAGTCTATAGTTGTTTTACAATGCAGCACTTCATATATGAATCTATGTATTAAGTTGAAGGAAACAGAATAGCAGATTAATGGAATACATTGTCTTTCTTGTTTGTTACTTGTATTGTTCAACAACAGGGAGTAGCATATTGTATTTATTAAGTCCCACAGGCTTTAGTAACTCTTGAGTACGTCCAAACACTGTGTATCATCATTTGCCAAAGAAGCAAGAGGGAAAGACATTACTTTATAGGACAATTCTGATAAGACATGTATCCAGTTTTTTTCAACAATGCACATATCAAATGTTTCTGATTAGTGCAAAAAAAGAAGAAAAATAGGAAAAAAAATCCACATAGGCAAATCTATTGCCTTGTTAGTCCAAGTAACAAACCAATCAATTATATGCTATCCAAACCTGACAAGCAAAAGGCAACTTTTTGCAGTGATAAGCTTATAGAAAGGACAAGATAGCTGTTCTCCTTTACTTTATGTACTCTATTGAGAGTTTAATCCACATTTTTAAAATCACACTTATAAAAGAGGTTTCCGGGATTGCCTCCGTGGATGAGCTGTGGCAGAGTTGGGTCTCATGAAGGGTATCTACACAGTAAAGTGATAAGAAAAGAACATTAACATTTAAAGATCATAGCAGCTCTGCACTATGTCTTATGAAACATACTAACAAACCACAGTAGATTCAAATAACATATGATCTGGTCCAAAGAGACAGATACCCTAAAATGCCATGATCTTGTGTAGGTTTCTATTGGTTAAAACTGAGCTATTTTTATCATTTGAAACACTGAGTTGCCTCCTCTTGTATTATTATTATTTGGGGTTGTCAAAATAAAGCTATATTTCTAAAGCAATATATATATATATATATATTAAAATGATGAAGCACTTATATTTATAAAAGGAAACATTTGATCAATAAATGTATTTTAAAAATTGCAATTTGCTATTTTTCCATCAAATATGGCAATTTGACATTGCTTGAGAAAGCATGCAATTGTGCTGAAAACAAGCACATCTAATCAGTATGTGTCAGTGATGGTTATACTCAAATACAGAGTCTCAAGGAGGAAATTTTCAAATAATTGTTATCCTTTGTGCCTATGCTGACTTTCTTTTAAAAAGGCTATTTAGAAATATGTTAGGTTACAATTATTTGTTACCTTTGTGTCTTTATTTTCAGAAGACAAATTTTGGTGATTAGAAGTAAAACTTTTTGACTGGGGTAAACATAAAAATTAATCCTTTCCTTCAAACATTTAGATCTGTGAAGATGAGGTAAAAATGCCAAGTAGTCACACATCACAGAAAAAGTTCATTTTTTTAATATTAACAATTAGAGAGATGTGTTTAATGCTTCCAGGTTCCATTGACAAAAAGAAAGTGAAAAGTGGCACACAGACAAATAAGGCATTACTGAGGACAGCCATCATGCCAAATTGAATAACCTCCAAAGAAAGTAAAAACAAAATTGTAACCCGCTCCCCAAAAAAAGAATACAAATGTGAAACATAGCTTTCAAAGAAATAATGTATTTATTAACATATAAGAAATAATAGAGTTGAATTTGCTTGTTAAATAGTAAGGTCACACATGCTAACTTTTTTCAGTGCTTTAGTCTCTAAGTGAAGAGCTTTTGAGCACATTCTGAATCTGATATTCTGAGAAGTGTTTTGTCTGTAGTTTACTACTGGAAAAGTATAATGCAAGAGGAAGCAACCATATCATTTATAATAGTAATACAATTAACTCTAAATTACATGCACAAATAATGGAGAGGAAAAGACAACTGAAAATACACATTTATATTTGATTTTGAAATGCATCTGAATATAGACACGTTAGATATCATGGAAATCTGCTTTAAACCCCAATTAAATACAAATTGTTAAGTCAAGTTTGACAAAAACTAAAGAGCTATTGCTAATATCCCTAAATATCCTAAATTTCATTTAATATTCCAAATTTCCCTTAAAACTAGAATAAGTAGCATGACTTGTCTTGGCTCTTATCTTCCCAGGACAAAACACTGCACAGTATTTCAAATCAAAGATCAAGTTTGGGCTTTGTATTTATTTCATATGCAGCTAGTAAGCAAATTATTGCAGAAAAAAAATTATTTTCTAAGGGCTTCACTGATGCACACACCAGTAACTATCAATATATTTTATATCTTATATAGTTGGAATTACCTGTCAAGAGGAAGTATCTACTTCTCTTGCCCCAACAAAGTCAAGTATGCTAAAGCAGTGTAGTGCAGTGAGGCAGAATGCCTAATGATTAGAGCACGAACTGTATGGTTAAGACTGCCTAGACTCAAATTCCAATTCCACCATTTTCCAGTTGTATAATCTTGGGTAAGTAATTCTTCTCATTTTCCTCACCTATAAAATAGTAATGAAATCATTATCTATTTTATACAGTTGTGAGGATTAAATGAGATAAAATGTGGAAAGCACTAGCACACTGACTGGCATATAAGCCCTCAACAAATCTTGGCAACTAATGTGAAGGCCAGTAGATTATATAATACACTATGGTAGTACTGGAAGGAAAGAAATTATATTCTAATACACAGCTTAATTTACATTATATAATTTAAATATATAATTGGTTCAATTTCTATTTCATGTTGCTTAGTGTCTATTTACCCATTACCTCACTTCTAAAATGGAAATATTTATACCTCATAGGATTGTTGTAAGAACTGAATGTGATAATAGAGCCAAAGATCAGAAAACATAGCCTGGGACACAGTAAGCATCTAACATTATCATTACTATAATTCCCAGGCCAAAACGACTTTAAAATAACATTTCGCTAGGGAAATCTATCAAATTTCGAAATTTGTATCCAGTCTTATTTTCAAATTCATTTCACCTCGTTTCATTATGTCTATTTCAAATGTCTATTTCATATGTCCAAAAAATTTAAAATCAATACAAATGAAAACCTTGCTATAAAAAAAGTAACAGATGAAAAAGAATACTTAATTTAAAAATAAAAGAAAAATCGAAAACAATATAGCTGGCTTCTCAACTACTAGTTGCATTATACTTGTTTTGTATGACTCCATGGGGTTGAAATTTTTAAGTAAAGACATCAACAGTTCACTTAAAGAAACTGTCAATAGTCAACTGCCAATAATTCCTGCCAAGAGGGAGAAAAGGGGTCACAGCTCTATCCCTGACAAAGCTTGTTCCCTGCTGCTTAGTAGTGAGTCTAGGCAGATAAATCAAGTGTTAGATGAATGGTGAGATTACAGACTTTATGATTTTTTTTGAAACTGTATATTTGTTTTGAAACCTCATTTATATAATTTGAGAAAAAATAAAGTTAGTGCCTTCACGTTAAAGACAGTGACCTTAGAGGTAACTTGATTCAAGGTCATTCACCTAGTCAATAGCGGAACTGTGGTGAGAGTCTCAGTCTTTCCAAATGATTAAGTATGTATGTAATATATAATCCTTCCCTTGTATAATTTAACAATAATAACACATTGCAATGGGAGATAAGTTAAAACTGCAAAAACAAATCTTACAGAAACAAATGTATAAAACGAGAAATATTTCACTGTTATAGGTGCTTGAAATTATAATGTTTATTACTCTAAAATTGTGTACCCCATAAATACCACACTTCACTATGTAATAGATATGACATTCAGGCTTCTGTTTTCTTTAAATACAAATTACTTGGATATACTACATCTATTAAAAACTTTTTTTTCAAAATTTAAAAATCCAAACATTAGTAACATAAACCAAAAATATTTATGAATAATACAAAGGCACTTAAAGGTCTGATGTTCTAATACAGATTTTAACATCCAAGAATGTGATACAATAAATATTGAACATGTTGGCAGGTTAGCCATTCTACATGTCTAACAAAATCAGCAAATCAACTTAATTAGAGAAAAAATATACCAAGTAAACATCTTTTAATTTAAATTTTTTCAGAATACTTCCTTAATAAGAAAAATTCAGTGTCACCTGGGCTACACTCATTATCCAAAAATGAATATTTTGAAAATTAAACTTCTCTTCCCCAATTTTTACTAATAGAAAAGCATTTTTGAAAAGAACTTTTAAAAGTTATAGCATAAAATTAACAATTTTCTAATTCTTTCCTTAGAATCTAATATCTTCATGACATACAATGAAGCATCAATTTAAGTCTAAAGATATTTATTTTAAATCACTGATCACTGCTTTTTATAAAGCCAGGTCTAAAGCAAAAAGGAAACATTCTTAGTGACAGAGATGGCCAAGTAACTTTTATGAACAAGAATGCAAGGCATTTAATTTTCAATCTTAGACTGATCTGTGTATAAAGCCTCTGTTAACCTAAATTGTCCAGCAAACATCTAAGACAGCCTTGGAATAACGGTATTTAGAGAATGCAAATGGACCAGAAGATCTCAATCGGGCTTGTATTGCAGAAAAGTTAGGTGGATCCTTAATTGTAGCCTTTGAAGAATGCCCTGTGTAGATCATCATTCAGTGCCACAAATTGAAAGCTTCCATGTTTGATGTTATCCTCTTGCTATATAAATAAAGCAAATATTTAGGCCAGGGGCTCACTGAGAGGGGGCTGTCTTGTCATCTTTCAGAGTAAACTAAATATTCTATGAACATATGCCAACAGCCCTAAATAAATCTAAAGTCTAAGGTTTTATTGGTGTGAAATTAAATCCTTATTGGCCAAATGCCTGTTTTGATGAGTTGATTTATAAAGATTTTTGTTAAGCTCAGGATTTTTAATTATGCAGTTCACAAAACAGTACAAGGCCATGTGAAGAGAATTACTATATCTTTGTTAACCTCAGCGCTTACTTTCTTTTGCTTAGAAAATTGCTCATCATCTGGTTATAAATTTGGCCCAAATTCTTTATTCTTCTGTGAGCTAAGCAGAGTAATGAAATATAGTATGTCTTCATAATATAACAACACTAATACACTACTAGTAAAATTAATTCAGGCAGTTTTACTTCTACCAAATGTATAATGGAGATTGCCTCAAAACTGTGTCCACATAATCCACGCTGATCTTGCAACGCACTATTTCTGGCACATCATTGGAATACAAGTAGCCCTGCACCTGCTGGTGAGCTCAACATTCACTGGGTGGAAGAGTGACCTGGCATCTTGGAAATCATGGCGTTTCTTCAGGAGAATGTGCAGTGTCTTGTAACAACTATAATGCAAATTAGGGCTACACTGTAATCTGCTTTGTTAATGAAAATGATAAAACAATAATGACAAGCTAGGACACCTGTGGTACCTTTAATTATATCTCCTTCAGAAGTTTGCTTCTTAAGGTATAATAAAGTGTGGAAAAAAAAAAAAAAAAAAAAAAAAAAAAAGAGCAGTAGGGTGCTGTGGGGAATAAAGAAGAAAGAGAACACATGCCCTGCTCTGGATATTAGTGAGGACAATGGTGGACTTTCCACAATGACAGGAGTTCAAGTTCTGGCCATTTTATCAGGCGAGAGAACAAGCTACAAGGTTGGAGGAAGTGAGACATAGTAGAGCTGCAGAACCCAGTTATACACTAGCAATAAAAATGAGGAGAGGCAAGGC